TTTTTGTGCTGGCCACTCCCTCCCCTCTGGTTTTCCATTCCTAGAAAAGCATCAGAGACCTGGCCTCTGAAGGAATAATAATATAAGTGGTTTGTTCCTCTGAGCATGGGCAGAGTGTTTTTTCCTTGGCCACTGATTCTCATCATGAAGTAGCCCTTTGTCCTCCCTTCTCAAGTGGACCAAGCTGTGTACGTGCTCCAGACGGGTCATCAGCACCTCCCGTTTTGGGGTCCCTGTCCCTTCAGTGTTTCTATTTTGTTGGCTTTAAGGGATGCCATGCTAACTACTTCTTCTTCTTTTTTGCATGAGGAGCTTGAGTTATTCTTCAGGGCCCTACAGCTAAAACTGGCAAGTGGTAGGATGCAAAGATGCATTTTCCTTCTTGCATCACACGAACACAGAAAGCCAAATGTGCCATGCCAGCTGTCATTCTGATACAGGGCAGCAACTGGGGGACATTAACCCCAGAGCGTGGTCTAACAGAGACTGTCTTGATGGGAGACTACCCGTCTTGGGCCTGGCTGTTGTCTGTGTGGGAGACCCCCTGGCAGCAAGTGCATAGACTTTCCAATTTCTGGGGGGATGGCTGGGGCTGGGTCAGAGGCATTGCTATGCTAAGTTATTAAAAGAACCGGGAGCCCAGTGATATCACAGGGAGGGGCCTCCTTTGCCTCTATGGAGGCAGGGCCCTGGGGGGTTTAGGGAGGGGCTCCCCAGAAATTTGGGGGGGGGGCTGGCACTCTTGGGCACCCCTTAACAATGCCCCTAAGAAAATGTGGGAGTTGGTCAGTGGTTATAGTGGTATCTCAGCAGGGCTATTTTTGGGCAGGGACGCACAGGAACGGAGTTCCGGCTGGTTCCCACGTTGGCCACGCCCAGCAGGAACTCATTAGCATAATAGGCCAACCCCAACAGCAGAAACTCATTAGGATTGGCTACATTAGGGGTGTGTGGCCTAACATGCAAAGGAGTCCCTGCTACAAAAAAGCCCTGAGTTTTGACAACAAACAAGGTAAACAGAATAAGAAGCAAAAGGTGGGTGTGGCTGGATGAGCACATTTCTGGTAACATGGAGGTATGGCCTAATATGCCAATGAGTTGCGCTGTCAGAGGTGTGGCCTAATATGCTAATAAGTTCCTGCTGTTGGGTGTGGCCTATTATGCTAATGAGTTCCTGCTGGGCTTTTTCTACAAAAAGAGCCCTGTAATCTCAGTAATTCCCTGCTGTGTCCTGTTTTTGAAATTCACTTTTAGGATAGTCACTTTAAGATCCGCAAATATATACACCATGTGCATAGGACAAACTAATGGTTACAAATTTGACACCAAGAAAGGCAACACAGAAAACCCATTTAGGGGAATATTTTTAAAGTTTTCCTGAGTGTTCATTTACAGGAGTCTTGTTTCTGCCTTATTCATAAGGGTGACTTAGTACTGAACACCAGTAAATGATGGCATCACAGACGCCTTCATTTGGTAAATATATGGTTGAAGTCTCTGAGCCAGCGTAGAATAAAAAACAGTTGCTGTGCACTCAGTTTCTGAGCAATGTACAGCATCCACTTCAGCAAATGTAGAAAATACCAGGCTTGAAGAAGACACAAAATATCTGTCTACCAAAAGAACCCCCAGATCCTATAGCAATACCTTTGCTGTAGTTTTGAAAGCACTACCAGCTGGGTTTTTTTCCAATTTCTTTTCTAAGCATTAGCTAGTTGGTTGTAGGGTTGCCAGCTCCCTCCTCTGAACGGGGGGTTCCCCTGCTGCCGGCCAACTGGCTGGTGGGGGAAGGCCCGCTCCTAATATTGACCACCTACGGCCACCCCTCCCCTCCTGCGAAATTTAAAGGGCTTCAGCTGATCAGCAGGGAGCACGTGGGGAGGGAGAGGGGCTGAATGTTCTGCTTGCAAAAAGACCCTTTAAAGAAGAAGAGGAAGAGATTGGATGTATACCCTGCCCTTCACTACCCAAAGGAGTCTCAGAGCGGTCTACAATCTCCTTTCCCTCCCCCTCCCCACAACAGACACCCTGTGAGGTAGGTGGGGCTGAGAGAGCAGTTTCAAGAACTGCCCTTGAGAGAACAGCTCTGAGAGAGCTTGTGACTGACCCAAAGTAACACCAGCAGTTGCATGTGGAGGAGTGGGAAATCAAACCTGGTTCTCCCATATTAGAGTCCATGCTCCTAACCACTACACCAAACCGGCTCTCTTTTTGTGAGCGGAGTGGGGGCTGCAGCTCGCGGGGCTGATTTCCCAGTGGTGATTCGCTGCTTGGGATTCAGGCATGTGTGTTCCCACCCCATTCACAGCTAGCCCTGCTTGCAGCCAGCCCCGCACAGGCCTGTAGCCACGGTGGGGCATTTAGGGGCAGAGCCAAACCACAAGCCTTGCCTCACCACCTGATTATGCCAGACACCCCCACCCCCAGTGCACCTAGCCTCGTAGTGTGGGCAAGGCTGTGGAAAGAAAAGGAAGCTGACCAGAAGCTGCAGGGAAGCTGACCAGAAGCTGCAGGGAAGCTTTCCTTTCCTTCCCCAGCCTTCCTGGTGCTGGAGGGTGGGGTGCTGGGGAAGGAAAGAGAGAGAGAGAAGGCATATGGTGGTGGGGAAGCCAATCCCTCTCTCTCCCATAGCTTTCCATGGGAGGGGGAGTGGGGGGTTAGTGGTGATGGGGGGGGAAGCCAATCTCTTTCCTTGGGTTGCCAATCTCCAGGTGGTGGCTGGAGATCCCCTGGCATTACACCTGATCTCCAGGTGGACTGAGGTGGTATGGTTGCCAACTCTAGGCTGGGAAATGGCTGGAAATTTGGGGGTGGAACCTGGGGAGGGTGGGGTTTGGAGAGGTACCTCAGTGGGGTGTAATGTCATAGAGTCCACCCTCCAAAGCAGCCATTTTTCACCAGGAGAATTGATCTCTTGTCATCTGGATATCAGTTGTAATTCTGGGAGATCTCTAGGCTCTTTCTACCTCATTTGACCCAGCAAGCATGTGGGGAAAGAGATTCTCTGGTCTAAGGGGGGGGGGTCCCAAGCAATGAGTAAGCAAACGTTCCTCCTCTCGCCTTACTGCACTGGGATAACTAACTGAAGGGCCCGGGGCGCCTGTGCACTGCTTATGAACACAATGAAATATTCATTGTGCTTTGGCTGCCCCCACACTAGTGCCAGGGGGCGGGAAATTCATCTGAGCAAAGTCTTTGCTGACCCGACCCTTCCACGTGGATGGTGGCTGAGGGAAGCACCTCTCTCATGAGTGGTGAGTTCAGGAGCTGAGGACCACTGGGGTGACAAGTGGCTGCAAAACCCTTTTTAAAAACTGACATCCTGCTGTTCAGCCGAGTTTCCAAGGTGGGCTACGAAGAAAGCTAAAGTTAAAACATACATCTGAAACACAATTTATCTCACAAAAACTGCAACAAATATGAGCCTCAGTCTGGCTCTGCAAACATGCAGAGGTGCGACAGGAAGCCTCCTTGGAGGCCAGACAATTCCATTCCATATTGGGGGAGATTAAGTCATCTGCGCTTAAAGATTTATGGCGGAATTACTGGCCCCTCAACTGAGGCAAGTTGGACAGTGGCAAATCCAGAACAGGGACTTGTGCAGAGATATAGGCAGAGGCCTCTTCCTTGGGCTGGTACTCCCTGAAGCTGTGAATGGCTGGCTTCACATACTTATCATGGCACCCAGCAGTTTTCTTTGGGCACACCCCCTTTCCTTTGGCAGAAAACCTGGAGTTCAACACAGTGTGGTCCAGTTGGACTGAGGGCCATTCAGGGAAGTCCAGTGTTTCAAGTTCTCACTTCTCTGGCTTTTTCTGTGCAAAAATTACATATAAAAGCTGGATTTTTTTTTTGCTGTCTCCCTGGGAGAATTCCTTAGGGAGAGAGAGAAAAGCAAAGAGAGAAGTCAGTTTTCATTTCTAATGAAAGGGTCCCTTCCCCTCCCTCCTCCTGCCAAGGTGCTTTGATCACACCAAAGTCAGAGCTTTCATCTCATCCCTGTTCCGTCAGATCCATAACATCAAAACAGCTCCCCAATCCCATGGGCACCCTCTGCCTCATGACCCACCTCTCATGGCCCCTTTCTTTGGTGTAGGGCACCGTTTGCCACACCTCTGGCCGTGACTGGCTAATGTGAAATGGATGCATTTCCCCCTTGGATCCTCCATTTGCATACATCCTTTGGGATGGCTCTGAAAAATCAGCTCTAAGATTGTGGCAGAAATGCCTGCATTATTTCAAGCATGCCTTCGAAAACCGTGAGGACTAGGAACTTGTGTGTGTGCGTGCATGCATTCTGTATATTTCCTGTTCTGTGAAATCCAGGGTGGTTGCGATCAGTGTTCCCTCTAGGCTGAGTTAGTGTGAGCTAGCTCACAGGTTTTTAGCCTCTGGCTTACACATTTTTGACTTGGCTCAGGAAGGATGGCTCCAGAGCAAACTAATCTATACAGTAGCCAAATCACTCGCTCACAACTTTAATGCCAGTGGCTCACAAAGTAGAATTTTTGCTCACAAGACTCCACAGCTTAGAGGGAGCGTTGGTTGGGATGCCAGATGTTGTGCCTGCCCACTCCTGATCTTTGCCTCCGGAACCTTCCACAGGAGCAGCCAAGGGTTTATGCACATGAAATTTACCCGGACCAAGGACGGCAAGTATATTCTGGGCCAAAACAGCGCTCCTTTCGACAGCGTTCCAGAGGTGATCCATCATTACACCGCGCAAGAGCTTCCCGTCAAAGGGGCTGAGCACCTCTCTCTGCTCTACCCGGTTGCTGTTCAGACTCTGTAAAGCTACAGTTGCGGAGGAGCTGCTTTCAATCCAAAGAGACTGGCAGGATGATTGTCCGGACTGCAGAGGGTATCTAGTTGGGGCGACTCACAGACAATCTCTCCTGTTGGGGTTCTCGCATCATGGAGAGACACATGCTACTGCTGTCTCCGGTTTCTCAAGCAATAAAAACCCTACGACACCCAACGTCAGAAGTCTAAAGGTGTACAAAGGGTTTAAAAGGTGGGAGGCCCCTCATCTGTTCAGACTGGCAGTGGCTCTCCAGCGGCTCAGGCAGAGAAAGGTCTTTCACATCACCTGCTGCCTGGCCCTTTTTTTTACTGGAGATGCCGGGGATTGAACCTGAGGCCTTCTGCATGCAAAGCAGAGGCTCCTCCATTGAACCACAAACCCCTCCCCCTAACTAGCATGGCAGGGAGGAGAAGGCAAGGTGGAGACATGTGGCCCCGGAGTTCAAAACCTGCCAGGCAGCAGCCCTTACTCTGCCATAGGGAAGGAACTGAAATTCATCTGTGGCTTTGAAAATCCCCGTTTCCAAGACACTTTAATTTGGATGCCAACATAGTCATCTTTCTATCCTCCCTCCCAACATTACTCATAAAATTTGGAATATGGGCCAAAATTTGGCAGACGTATTACAGTCGAGTGTGTTTTTATATCAATTTGGCATCAAAGTGTGGTGTCAAGGAAGGAGGAGCCCCAGCGCCAAAAACTGAGGAGGTGAAAAGGCCTGTGAGGATGGATTTGAGCCTCCCTATTTCGAGCAGTTGTCTCCCCTCCCCAGTCATTCTCACCATCTTTATCACATGTTTACTCGGATGTCTGTGCGTGGGACCTTCTCTCTGTTTGTGTTCTTGTGCAATATATGTCCCCTCTACCACAGTGATGTTGCCTTTGCATTAAATTGTACAGTTTATGTGCTGTTTTTTTCACATGGGTTTGTTACATGGGACGGAGCCTTTTGCTGCTCTGTAGGGTTAGAACCTGGCAGCAGCCCTGACCCTCGGAAGCTAAGCAGGGTCGGCCTTGGCTAGTATTTGGATGGGCGACTTCCAAGGAATACCAGAGTCGTGACGCAGAGGCAGGCAGTGGCAAACCACCTCTGAAACATCTCTTGCCTCAAAAACAAGTCTAGCTCACCACCTAGTGGTGCATAACACTAAAAGCTAGAACTTCTGTCTGCCGGACAATCGTAGGATCTCCTGGCTATACTATGCACAATGCCATACGATAATTATTAATTGAATAATTACCTGGCAGCAGCATCCTTCCCTGCAACTGGGTTCCCCTTGCACTTTAAATGAGTACGGGAGCAGAAAGGTGAAGACTCCGAATCTGGATGGAGCCCAGGACACCGTCATGAAAGGATCTGATGGGCTACGGCTGTCAACAAACTGGGTATGACTTCAGAATGCCCCGGGGGCACGTAGGGCTGAATAGTCTCTACACTTTAAAAAATGCGCCTATTAGAGATGGTACCATATTTCATGCCAAGCCTAGTTCAGTTTGTAAGTTAAAATGTCTTGATGGTTGCTTTTTGATTTGGATGAAACGGCACACTTCCTTTCCCTCAAAACTCAGGCTCAGTACTACAGTTAAAACTGGGACGTGATTTCTCATTGGCTGTGCATAAATGACATGCAAAAAGCATACAAAAAATAAGAATCCCATTAAAATGCCATCAAGGAAATAGAAATGGGGAATTTGTCAGATGAAATAGGTGGGGTGACAGAGGGGTCTGGCTTGAAAATTAAAAGAAACAATAATACATATTCATACATCTCCAGCGTAGATTTCCCTGTTGGCAGCAGAGGACAGGACTCACAATAATGGGTTTAAATTGTGGGCGGAAAGATACCAGCTGGATATTAGGAAAAAAATTTTTTTACTGTAAGAGTAGTTCAGTAGTGGAATTGGCTGCCTAGGGAGGTGATGAGCTCCCCTGCATTGGCAGTCTTCAAGCAGTGGCTGGATGAATGCTTGCCAGGAATGCTTTAGGCTGATCCTGCCTTGAACAGGGGGTTGGACCAGATGACCTCTATGGCCCCTTCCAATTCTGTGCGATACGCATGTTGAGCTGAGCTACATTTTGCACACTGCACATGTATTTTAACTTAAGTAAATTCACATGTGATTTTGTTTCTGCTGACCATGTGCAGTTTCAGAGAACTGGAGCCCTGAATTGCAAAATATACAGGGAATATAATGCTCAGTTCTAGTCCTCTGGATGCTCAGATCTTAACAGATGCTTGCCTGTGTTCAAGTGTATCATTAAAAATTTTGTTTTTTGGGAAACACCCCCCCCCCCCGGAGCTCTCAGAAGGACATAAAATTCATGAAATTAGATGCTGGATTCTTCCCTTGGTTTATGTTCTTGAATAGTGCAATAGTGAGATGTGTGTGGTTCTGGCCATCTAACACTGCATTTGCAGATCACAAGCAAAACTTGAGATATTAATGAAGCCTCTTTCTTCTCCTCGTTTTGGGGATTTTAAGGCCTTTAGTGACAGTATGATTTTCCCTTCCACTCCCATTACTTGGAGGAAAAAGCCAGCCTTATCTTGAAACAATGTAAAGCAATTGCTTTCAGTGGAGGGGAAGGAGGTATTAGTCATTTTCTTCGACTGTTTCTTGGAAGGAATGTTGTGTGCCAATTGGGGAGGTGTACAAAGGTTTAGTAAATTGGGAGGTCCAGGAAAAAAAAAGTGAACCAATGCATTTGGGGCCTTACATTAACATTTTCAAAGAGTGGGTTTGGAGAAACTGTTCTGTGCAAAGTTGTAGGCTTGAGAATTCCCTGCCACTCGGTTGAATACAACAGAATGCTTCTATCTAGTACATGTTTATTCCAGTCTTCCAAAGAGTGGTTCTCCCTTCCCCTCACAGTCCTCACAACAACCCTGTAAAGTAGGTTAGGCTGAAAGAAAGTGAGACAGCTCCAAGGCCACTCAGCAAGCTTCATGTCAGAGTGGGGATTTGAACCCGTGTCTGTCAGACCCTTTCTCCACCACTACAGTGTACATACTTGGAGAACACGGTACCGTTAATGCTTGCAGCTGTGGTTGCTGGGCTTATGGAACACTGTGTCTGGGGCAGGGATGCTCTGCCTTCTTGGTGCTTGGGGGCAAGAGTGGGAGGGCTTCTGGAGTTCTAGCCCCACTGGTGGACTTCCTGATGGCCCCTGGGTTTTGGCCACTGTGTGACACAGTGTTGAACTGGATGGGCCACTGGCCCGATCCAACATGGCCTCTCTTACATTCTTGTGTTCTCTGTTTGTGGCTTACCTGCAGCTACTAAGAATGAAAATGGATCAAGGATGCTCCCAGCAGGTGTGACCTTCTTGAGGGCTGTAATTGGGTACTGTCAATATGAACTGAGATCGAGGCAGCTCTTAAACAAGTGATTTCACTTTATTCAGCTCACAACAACACTAGACAAACATACATAGAACAAGGCTGACTTAAATATGATTTGAACGGGCAAAACCACACCCAACAAACAGATAACAACCAATCGGAATATGGAGCTTAGAACCAATGCAAGTGGTTCCCGCTGAAGTCAAAGGCTTCTCTGATTGGCCTATTTGCCAAACCATGGCCCCCGTCACACGGGCCGGAAAATGCGGGGGGGGGGAGCGTGGCTGTTTGCCCCGGAGCAAATTAATGTGCGGCCGCCGGATCACATGTCCCGCCGACGTCCCATGGTTCGGGGGGAGGTGCTGATCACATGACAATCCTGCAGCGCGGCAAAGAAGTGGTGCGATTACAGCAGCAATGGCTAGGCGCCGTTGCCGTGGCAAACGGGGTTGTGGGGTTTTTTTAAATCAAAGTGTGCGCATGCGCTGTTGGGTGCTTGTGCATATCCCGTGGAGACTTGGAAAAAAACCCCTTTCTGCGACTGGACATCGGCGGGCGCCGGATGCCACGAACTACCACCAGAAATGTGATCAGACGCTTGCCCCGCTGTTTCCGGAAACTAGTACCTCGGAGGTACTAGTTTTTTACGCTGCATCCTCGGCGGGAAGCCTCGGGTTAGCCACGGGAGCTCTACGCTTCCCAGATGTTGCGGTGTGATCGCGCCTTGAAAATCCGCCTATCTTCCGTCTCTGTAGAGTGGCTAATGCTCCGTGTGACCGCAGCCCATATAATGCTGTATGTTGTAATGCTGTGTTTTACTGGAGCTGTGCTTAAGCTAATTCATTGCTTTATTGGCTTAAGACATAACAGTCAACCAGTGGGATGCTAACCTAGCTGGACCGTTTTTCTCAGACAGTTCTTCGCAGGGTGACACTCCCCCTTTCCAAGCTGCTCTTCTGTTTGCCTCTTTCTGCCCGTTCCCGCCCCCGCCCCCCCCCCCAGATCAGCCGGGGCTGGCGCCCACCCCCTATATATAGGAGGTAGTGGGCTGGCCCAGCCCTGGCAAGCAGAAATCTTAGAGGGGGAGTGAGGAACATGTAAGGCGATTCTCTGCGCCGCCAGACAGCCTCTTTGGGGGGGGGGGGGGGTTGTGGTTAGGGTGAGTCTGTCCCATACAAGGACGTGTGGCATGCCAGACTGTGCGCAGTGGGTCCCAGAGTGCCAACACCGGCTCCTTTTTCCAAAGGAATCGGGCGTCTGTCTCACCTCCTCTGTCCCCGCCCCCCCCAGCCTTGCCTCCTGGAGGACACGGTGTCGCCATAGTAACCGGCCCTCCCGCCAATCGCATCTCTTGCCCCTTCAAGGTGAACGAGGCAGAGAGCGGAGCCGGCGGCTCCCTCGACTGCAGCCGCCGCAAACGGGCCGGCGCCTGGACCCTGGCGACGGCGGCTCTCCCCGCCCCCAGCCCAGCCCCTTTGCAGCCGCAAGAGCCTCGCGGAGCAGCAAAACGGTACCTTGGCGCCGTTGGCGGACTTGGTCAGCAGCAGCAGGAGGAGTGTTGTGCACAAGCTCGTGCAAAGAGCTGGAGATTTCTAGGAGCTGGCTGAGGAGGAGGGCCGAGTGGATCCGCAAGCCCTGGGTTTGAATCTCAAAGAGGCAGCTCCGGGTTGGGGAACTGGGGTGTGCGTGTGTGGAAGCTGGGAAGAGCCGTGTTTGGGGAAGGGACAGGGAGGGTCCTCTCCGTGGGGTATAGTGCTGCAGACGCCACCCTCCAGAAAAGAAGAGAAAAAGCCCTGGCCGCTATGATGTTCACCACTGTGGCTAAAGTGAAAACAACAACAACAACGGTCATCAGAAAAAAAGGATTTTAAATGGAGCAGGATGGGAGGCAGAGGAGATGAATGGGGGGGGGG